TATAAATGTGATGGGAGCATCTGCAGGGGGAGCCATGTTTATTAAAGCAATTGATGCAAGTGGCAATATAAAAGATGGAGAATACGTGGCAGCAATGTTTATGGATGCAATCAAGCAAATTGGAAGCTCAAATGTTGTTCAAATTATAACAGACAATGCAAGCAACTATAAAGCTGCTGGGTTAAGCATTGAAACAAGGTATCCTCATATCTTTTGGATGTGTGGTACATAGTCTGAATTTGGCTTTGAAAAGTATATGTGATCCATCTGAAAAATCACCACAGTATGCATATTGTAAGTGGATTGCTGATTTGGTGAGTGATGTGGAAAACATTCGTAATTTTATTGTTAATCATGGAATGGCATTAGCTATATACAATAAATATTCTAAGTTGTGTTTGTTGAGGGTGGCTACTACAAGATTTGCATCTGCTATTGTAATGAGTAAACGATTAAGAGAAGTTAGGCCAGCGCTTGAGAAAATGGTGATGGATTCAGATTGGAGAATTTATAGGGACGGGAATAATGAAGGCAAATCACAAGAAGTGAAAACGTGTGTAGTCAATGACGTTTGGTGGGATAATTTGGATTATTTTTTATCTTTCACTGAGCCTATTTATAATATGTTATGAGTTGCTGATACTGATTCTCCAATTTTTCATTTAATATATGATATGTGGATATAATGATTGAAAATGTGAAAAAGATTGTATTTGAGCACGAGGGGCTAGATATAGTTTCTGGGCATTCAGATTTTTTTGATGCTATTCATCAAGTTTTGGAGAGTAGATGGAATAAGAGTAACACTCCTTTGCTTTGTATGGCACACTCTTTGGTTCCTAAGTATTATAATGAATCTTGGCTTCAAGATGGAAGTAACGGAATTCAAAGAATTGCACCACATGAAGATGAAGAAGTTTCAATGAATAGAAGCAAATGCTTCAAAAGGTTGTTTGAAAATCCGGCTGATTTGAGGAAAGCATATGCTGAATTTGGGTCCTTTTCTACTGGATCGGAGTATTTCAATCAACCCCATGTGATTGATGCAAGAATGTATGAAGAGCCAATCTCTTGGTGGGCCAATCATGGTTCTTCGATACCTTTGTTGCAATCTCTAGCATTTAAATTGCTCTCGCAACCAGCATCCTCTTCTTGTTGTGAGCGAAATTGAAGCACGTATTCACTCATCCAGAGTATCAAGAGAAACAAACTAGCATCGAGTAGGGCGGAAGACTTGGTATTTGTTCATTGTAATCTTCGACTCCTGTCACAAAAAGAAGGAGTACAAAGATGGGCCAACAAAATATTGGGATTTGTGTATGTATACAATATTCTTATATTCTTTGTTTTTTTTAGATATCTAATTTTTTTACATTAATATTTATATATCTATATTTTTTGTAGGCGGGGATCAAATTGAATTGGATGGACAATGTATCATTGAGATGGCGGAACTAGCCCTTGATGAGCCAGAATTGGAGGCAATGACATTTGATGAAGAAGAGGAGTAGAGCTTGATTGGGAATGCTAGTTTAGTTTGATTTCAAGTGGAAAACTTATTTTGAAGTTGTAACATTTTGGATGTTTAACTTTATTTTAAATTATGTTTTGTTTGAATTTGGATTTTTATCATTATATGAAACATTTGTATTGTGGTAATTTGCCTTTTTGCTTTAATATTGTTGTTGTGTACTTTAATTGAACAATTTTTAAAAAAATTGTAGGACGTATCCTCGTACCCATATCCACAATTCGGATCCTTTTTAACCGTATCCCCATATCTTAATTTTAAAAATGAGAAGAATCCGACCCCTAAATATGTACCCATATCCGACACCCGCACCCGAGTCCGAGCTACATAGCTCTCTTCTCCAAACTCGTTCTTGTTCAATTGTTTTCTATGTTGAGAAGATTTCAATATTCAAGCAATAATCAAAATCTAATTAAAAATGAAATTTTAGGTTTCTTGACAAAAAAAGTTAAACTCAAAAGAACCTCTAATAAACTAAGCACGTGCTTGAGCCACATTATTTAAAAACTCAATTTTTCCAAATTAATTTTTAGCCACATTCTTCGAATAAAATAATTTTGCACATAAACCCAAAACATTGTCCTATTTTTTAATCACATTCCAAAAAAAGCACTATTACAAAACACATATTTCATAAAAATGGGGCTCAAACAAAGCCAAAATTCTATTAAAATATTAGAACTAATTTAATAAACATATTTTGAATCAAACTCTACTCCAAAATCTTATCTAAAACATATGTTTATTTTTATATTTATTTTCCATCATTTATCAGTGAACCCGATTCAAGCGAGTTACATGTATAATCTCCTAGGGAGGTCGATCTTTGTGGGGAACCAAACTTCTACATTGATCCCCTGATTGCAGCATACCACACCTAACCTCGAAAACATTCGCTTCCACAACATCTATATTATTGACTCAAAAATGCATATTTTTTTCCTCTACAATTTCTTCTCTCTTTACGTATCATGTTACGTTCTACGTCACTACATCTTCATAAACTTCTTTTAATAGGATAAACAATATTCGCAAAGCTTAGAATCCGAATATCCATGATTGTTCTGCAATATTTGAAATTACATTAAGTTAATAATGAGAACTGAAAAGGTCAAAATTTGATGTAACTTTTTCTTTTCCCCAAAAACTGATGACCTAGAATCTTTGTTGATCACATCATTATTTTTAAGCAAGGATATGGTTGGAAATAAGGGCCTGTTTGATCGGTCCATTTTCCATGGAAAATGTTTCCACCATTTTTGTGTGTTTGATTGCATGAAATTTCGATGGAATTTGTTTTCCAAGTTTCCTCACACATGTGCCATTTCCATGGTTTTGTGGGAAAGAACTTCTCACCATTTCAAGCGTCCTTTTTTTTTTTTTTTTTTTTGCCAATTGGAACAAATTTTATCTCATGTAATAAATTGTCCCTTTAATTGACAATTTTCATGAAAAACAAAGTCAAACGAATACCAAAAGATAGAAAATTTCAACGTTTTCCAGGCAGAAAATTATACCAATCAAATACATTAATTGACAATTCCCAGAAAAATAAATTTTAGGCAATTCAATTCCCTAGAATTTTTTTTTCATCCAAATTTCATCCTTGCAATCAAACAGACCCTAAGAAATTATAGACATTCCAAAAGAGAAAATGAGACCATTAGTAGATAATGGAAAGAGTACAATTAATCAAATATTTAGAATTTTATAAATTTTAGGAATTCTACCAGGAACCTGCATTAAAGCATAATTAATAATACATCTTAAGTGCGAAAAATTGCTCTCTAGCCATTCTATTTACGGTGTACATTACACGCTTGTGAAGGCCCGCACGAAGATTAAAGAAAGAAAAAAAATTACGTAAGATGCAATCAAAAGGAACGATACTTGTAGAAGAAGGGGAAATGAGAGAGAAGAAGAGAAGGGGAAAGAAGTAGAAATTAGAAGAAGGAAATATGTTTATATTCTATATTCAAGTCTAACTACTACAATGCATAAACTCCCTTTATATAGAGTATCAGCTAATATAATTCTAGTAAGAAACACCTAATAAAATACTAGAAAACTTGTAAAATAAACCCCAATTACTTTTTCTTAAATAAGTATTTAAATAATATTTTTTTGGGGGGGAAAAAGTCTAAAGCTTCTTGCCGGCCGATTCTTCAGTTGCTGTTGCCCTTTCTTTTTATGGTGTTGAAGGGCTGGTGTTAAGGACTTTGGTTGGTTTCGGAGGTGGAGGATTGTGACGTGTCTGGTGGCTGCGGATGTATAGTGGCGTGAACCTTAATTGGTAAGAGGATAGCACCAAGCTCTAATACCAAATTGACGTAAGATACAATCAAACAAGAATGAGACTTGTAGACGAAGGGGAAGGAGAGAGAAAGAGAAGATAAAGGGGAGAAGAAATAAACAGACGGAAGAGAAGTAGAAATTAGGAGACGGAAATATATCTGCATTTAATATTCAAGTGTAACTATTATTGTGCTAATCTGCTCCCTTTATATAGGGTTTTAAGCTATTTTAGTATAAATAACAAAACAACTAATAGAATACTAGAAAATCTATAAACTCAACCCTAATTACTTTTCATAAAATAAGTATTTAAATAAAAATTCTTCATATAACATATCTAATGGAATCTCCATCAAAAATACATTGCACTACATAAATAGCTACTATGTAAACCAAAATGGATTTAAGCATTTTAGGTTCAGACATCTTGTGCCCTGCCTTCATGTTTCTTTGGTCAGTGGTCACTACAGCTGGAATTGGAACCAGTACATGGATGATGGATTATATGAACTGTGTGAATGTGTGTGACAGAGCCCAAGATATAGACCCAACTCGAGTGAGACAGGCTTGTGCTGCAAAATGTAAGTGTTGCATGGGAATTTGTGATGCCTCCACAGTACATTAGTGTATGTGTAACACATAAGACTTGAGTTGGAAGACTACTAACAATTAGAGATGATTGCTTATCTAGTTCTGCTTCTCTTTCTGGATAAAAGATGCTGCCCCTTCACATTCATATTTGATCGTGTATCTGCATGTAAGCTGAGTGCTAATAGGCAAGTTTGCCCATGAATTCAGAAAACAGCCACAAATCTTTCATTGCAACAAGGCATCAAAATATCAGCACATCTAAAGAATATGCTAATAGAAAAAAATAATAAATAAATAATAAATAAATAAAAAACCGCACCTATCAGCAGTATCAAAAGTATGACGTATTCAACAAATACCAGGAGCGAATTTGGAAACTAAGGAACAACAAGATTACCAATTATTTGTACAAATATATTCAATGATATACGCATTTGATTCGTGCATTTACTAAACATAGTTTAAGTGCCTTCGAAAAGATATCAGGTGGAGCAACTAGATGTTAAAAAGTCTAAAGCAAGACTTGCAAATTCATTTGAGTGCTAAAAAATGAAACATAATTTCACAAAGAGAGAGTAATAACCTTGTTTAAGTAGTTCAATTGTGTGATTATACAACTAGCTGCAACCATGACAAACACCCACGTTTGGAAGTGGGCTACCTGGCTTGAACCCTCTATCGTGAGTCTTATAGCAATACCTACTGCTTTAATGCTCATAACCTACAACAAACACTAAACATGTCATCCACCATGCACTATGTACGCATGGAATTTAAGCATAAATGTATTCGGGAGGATGCCAAAGAAATTAGAATATTCATTTAGAGCTATTTAAAAGCAACAATAAAACCACAGTTTACAAAATTCCTTGGCCTTCTAGGTAGAAGATATCATGCAAGATTAAAAGAACGTTTTTCATTTGTTTAAAAGTGACAAAAGCAAGTTTAAAAATATAATTTATCATAATTAGAGAGTTGAACCACCATGTGGTCATTTCAGCAGTATGCAAAATATGGTGTACAAAGCCTTTAGAAGATATGGAGATCATATAAAAAACTGTGTCTCATGCCGTGAGGCTCCTTCAACTGTCTCATGCCGTGAGGCTCCTTAATTCTACTACTGCTCTCTTTTAAAGGCTTTATAAAAAGAAATTGACAATTTAATCCTAAGATGGAGGTATCTTCATTATTTTCACTTGACCAACACTTTCTAAACGACAAAATTTATTCTTCTGTTTGAAAAAGAGCCTTTCTTTCCCTCTGCCAATAAGAGATGATTTTCTTCGTACATGAACATTTCTACATGAAATTATCACAGGAAAAAGACAAGTACTTACCGTTAAGGATCCGATTACAGAACAAACGCCAATATAAACCATTATATTCGTCTGCCCATAGCGTGGTTCACAATACAACACTAGTACCCATACCAGTGCCACTGCTGAGGCTGTATACAAAAGAAAAGCTGACCAAGAAAAAGACAAAATATCACATTCTTCATTTCCATGCATATGACCCCAAAAGAAATAGGATTATACAGTATCTATTAGAGTAGAAATGCTCACCTGGCTGTAATGCTAACTTCCAGATTTCTTCCACGGAACTAAGACTACGTTCAGCAGGTGCATGAAGCACAATTATGGTAGAACCCACTATGCATAAAATGCATCCCAATATTCCTAACTTCTGCAATTTTTCTTTCAATAAGAGATGAGCTAAAACGGCACTGTCAGTTAAAGAAGAAGGATGTTAGCATTACTTATGATAAGTTGTAGAGCATAAGACTCAGCTATGAAAGGTGATCTCTTTTTTGTTTTAACTTTGGCTCTTTTATTGGGAGGAGAGAAAAGGGAATGGAAATAGACTGCAATGTACATTTACCTGACAATTATACTTAATGCTCCAAGAGGTGTAACAAGAACGGCAGGAGCATAAATGTAGGCTACAAAGTTGGCAAATTCTCCTACAATCACTGCAAAATTTTGTTCAGATTATCAGATGAAATAATTTTCAGAAATGTATAATTAAGGAATCCGAACAAAGCAAGACTTACTAGTCACCATGCCAATCCACCAAAGTGGCTCCAGCAAATACCTATATCCCCCTGAACCTTCATTTAGGGTGTGTTTGTCACCCATTATTTGGGAAGAATGTATTATGGAATAGTGATTGATGTTGAAATGTGTGATTAAAAAAGAATGAAAAGTTTTTTATTTACGTATAATATTATCAACCATCACCCCCAACCTTTTCAAACATTGCAGATGAGGCCCCAATGGATGAAAAACATCCAATTTACCGCTAGTTGACCAAACAATGGAGTTTGACCACATTGTTAATATTTTTATAAAGGGCAAACTAGTAACTTTCTATAAACCAAATTAAATAATTAAATTAATTAAATTAAAAGACCCAAAAAATGAAAAGGGAAAACCTGTATCTTCTTCTTCCTCCTCCCATCCCTTTCCCAAACTACCCAACCCCACCCTAACGAAAAGGGAAAAGACTCGGATTGCGTGCTATTCTGAGAATACTGCGAGTGGTTTTGGGAAGAATAAGAGGCTTTAATGGCGGGTCCTGTGTCCATCATTGAGGGATAAACTGAAGAGTGCTGCGTGGTCTTGACCCTTAGGGAATCCTCCCCTCAGAACATCAATTTGTGATGTGAAATTAAAGCGTCTTGTTGTTCAGAAACCTCAGAACTTCTCAGTTTCATAATGAATTCTTCATCTTCCAGTGAGTGAGAATTTAAGATTTCCATATTTGAGGAAGAGGATGATGAATAACAAGCGGGTCGAGTTTTCAGCGGCAAGGGAGTGGGGAACCCATTTCTGGGCGTCACCAATTCTTCCGAAGCAATTACCGACAGTTGTCTTGGTCTTTGAGTCAACTCAGTGCCAACCTCTGCACTATTGTGGTGAATTAATGTACTGGCGAGTTTTTCAGCTAAGTAGAAATCAATGGGTTTAGGTGTGTCGATGAGATGGGTCCAGCACCAATTGAAGATGGTGGACTTAAGGGCAAGATTGGGTATGATGGTGGAGAAATCGGGGTTGGAACCATTTGCCAATTTGGGTGTAAAAGAGAGTGAAACGCAAGCATGAACGCAATTCCATTCAAAAGTGTGGCCGGAGGATCCTATAACAGGATACGCCATTAAAGCACCAGATATCGGACACGGAAACTCGTTTGGTATTGATGGACATTGCTTTAATGGTGGAGTTGGGTAGGATGGGGAAGGGATGGGAGGAAGAAGAAGAAGAAGATACAGTTTTTCCCTTTTCCATTTTTTTGGGTTTTTAAATTTAATTAATGTAATTATTTAATATGGTAAATATAAGGTTACTAGTGGGTAAATATTAACAATGTGGTCAAACTTAATTTTTTGGTCAACTAACGGTAAATTGGATGTTTTCCATCCATTGAGGCCTCACCTACAACTTTTGAAAATATTGGGGGGTGACGGTTGCAACAAATCAAAGACTTTGGGAAAGTCTACTAGTGTTTCAAAAGTTTGGGGCCTCTGCTGCAATTATCCCTTGATTTAATGATGTAAATTAAAATTTGTCAGCGCTTTATTTTGGTTTCCAAGCAGTAACATTATATCTGAGAAGGTACGAACTAAACCGGGGTGACTAATTTTTGCAACTATTGTCCTCATTTTCTTATGCTTTACTTCATTGGCGTTTGATGTATTTTCCACTCAGCCAAGATGCTACGTATCCTTTGGGAAAGATTTGTTTTTCTTGCCTCCTTTACAACACCCCTAAAACTTTGTGATAATTGACGTAACAACTAAAAGCTCGTGACATTTTACAATACAACAATTATCTACGAAGTAAGATATAAGAAATCACTGTAAAGATATCTTCTTTTCATATTTCAGTCATCAATTAATTTATACGGTTCCTAATTCCATTACTCGCGCCTGCCTATAATTTGCTGGCTGTAAACTTTTACATTTATTCAGAGGCAGACTTCAAGCCAAACAAAATCGACTGTCTTCTCTAATTCATTTGAGTATCTAATTAGCAGTATAAATAAAAAAAATGAAATATTTTTAAGAAGAAACTACACAAGGATTTTAAATTGTAAAAACCAGAACAGCTAGAAAAACAGTTTTAAGTTTCAAAATTCACACAAGAGAATTAATGAAAAAAATTTCAACAAAAAATCAACACTTACTGGCTCGAGAGCCAGATGCACCGGCTCTCTGTAGACCCTTCTTCTTGATGATGAAACTGGATCCAATGAAAGCACTCGACCCGACCGCCAACCCAAACCCTATCAAATTGTCTGTATGCATGACCCACCCCGCCCCGCCCCGCCCCGATCCAAACAATAGCAAATCCTCTAATTTTTGCTCCGATAATAATTTATGATTGATATCAAGGAAAATTCAATTATCATCTGCAGCTAAATTTATACTAAATTCTTAAATCACAAACAAAAAAATATGCAAATATAATTGTCTATGTGTAAATTTATGGAAAATTTGAAACCCTGGAGTTCAAGAAATTGGCGAAAATATATCATTAATTACGTATGTATAGGTTGCAGTATTTAAGTGGCTATGCTTCATGCGGTGTTGAGTGGAGCTGCTTAGGGGATTTGGAATTGGAGGGAAGGGAATTTCTTGTAAAGTATATTCCTCCAATATAATATGACTTACCAATTTGTTCATGAATAGATGGTGCGATAAAATTTGATGGGTTAAACTGGGCCACATGGGCTCTCGATTTCCAGGGACTTATTTGGTCCCACCTAAATAATAAGCCCCTGGAAATTTAGAGCCCTGGAATTCCAGCGAGGTTCAAATTTAATTGGATCAAAATCTCATTAATCAAATGGGAAGGAAAAATTTTTATCACTTTCTTTTCGACACCTCATTGATTTATAAAAAATTGTATAAATGATGATGTGTACAACAAGTATTTTCCTTTATTATTAGTGGCATTGTTAATTAATAATTTTTTTTTTCGAGGATGGACAATCATTTCTTATGAACTTTTGTTATTGTTTGTTTATTTCATTGGGAATGAATGATGATGATTTAGGTGTGATTGTATTTCTAAAAATTTGTTGACGAAATGTTGAAAGTGAATGGTCTTTACGATTAAAGATGAGAAATGATGGTTTAAGGTTTTTCGTGTATAATTTAGTGTGTGAATGCGATTTGGAGTGTCAATACAAATTTCGAGAATGCAATGCAAACTTCAAGCTCATTGTGTAAATTTCGAGTTTGTAGTGCAAATTTTAAGTTTGATTTGCAAATTTCGAATTTTTTGTGAAAACTACGAGTTTCCAATGCCATTTCGAGTTTGCTTTCCAAAATTTTGAGTTTGTTGTGCAAAGCACATTTCGAGTTTGTTTTATAAATGTTAGGATTTAATTGTATTAGCGATTCTTCAAACAAAATAACTAATGCAAAGAGCAGTAAAAGTCAATGAGTCAGTTGGAATGTTGTGTAGATGAACTAGATATCTTAGGGTTCGAGTTTGGAATAAGAAGAAAAGATTCGCCGGATTTACTCTAGCTTAATGCCTATCCGATGCTCGAGCAGAAAAAACAGAAACATTGTTGTTCGCCCGTCGCCTGGTTCTCGCTCGAGTGACACACCGCTCGCTTACCTATCGCTAGCTTGGCGCTTGAACGATGGTGTTACGCATAAAATCCTAATTCACATTTTTCAAGAGTTTTATCCAACCTATACTACCTAAATGCCTTCTACTATATACCCAAGTCCTAATTCGTTTTTTCGGTAGTTGTTATTCATACAAAACCTGTAAGTGTACGGAATCGTTGACAAGTAATATAATTGATAAGTTAAGAGTATCATCCACAATGAATAAGTTTCAATTCAAGTTCATTATTTATGTATGTAATTCAAATTATGTAAAACAAAATAGAGATTTCAATTTAATCTAAGAAAGCAATAAAAAGTTAGTTTTTATTAAATTATAAATGACTGTATTGGATTTCGACTCCACCTATTGCTATCTATTTCAATTATTGATTTGTAATCTAGTTCGGTTAATGCATTCTTAACAAGTGATACAACTATGATATATAATTTCCTTTTTTAATACAAATTAAATTTATCATAACCATGACCCAAATCTATTCCTAACCCGAATTCGAATGGCTAGAACACATTAAATTTTAGATTATCTATATAATTACATACGTGATAAATGTTATTCCTAACATTTATTGCACATATGTTAATTTTGCCACGTTCTAAACTTATTGTGAGTCTCTCAATACTACAACGTAAAATCGATTATCTAATTGGTTGTCAATCAATTAAATAATGTAATGTGTATGCAAAATTAATCAAGAAACACAAGAAATACTAAATTGCTAGTCTTGAATTAGAAAAAAAATAACAAATAGTGTTTATCTTCATCCAATACAAAAGGGAATCTAGCCTAACATACTATTATATAAATTACAAGAAAAATAATAATAAAATCACTCAGATCATGAATAGAATACAAAAGATGTTGATCTTCAAGTCTAAAGTTGGATTCTTCAATTTCTTGATGTAATTAGCCTTCAATTCTTTACTAAGGCTTGATTCTTTCTCTCAAAATATAGTAATTGACCATTTGTTCTTGATGAATTTGATGATACTCTTGCGTATGAAGAGGCAAGAGAGAGTTTTTTCTTTGTGTAGCCCTTATTTTATATTTATAGGAAACAGAAAACATGTCAAAATTGAGTCCAATTTGGGTTTCAAAAAAGTTTAAATCACGAAAGAAAATTGATAATTTGTTTGTGAAAATGGCCCGTGTGCTTGCCAAATGGCTCTCAAGTCAAAATTTTGGTGTCTTGCTCGCCCCAGAATTGTCCCTTGCACGCCCCGGTTCGCGGTGTTGTTGTCCTTGAACATTTTTTGGTATTTTGGTCATAGTTTTTTCTCCTAACGTCCGATTGAGGTGATACAAAGTGCATTGTAAATTAACTCAAAGATTTACAATTCTTATATAGGTACAATGTTTTTAATTCGAATGTTTGCTATCCCAAAAGTGGTTCTCAATTTGAAACTACAAATTCAAAGCATAACTTCTTCAACTAGAAATTGATTTGCAAAAATATTTTAACTCTGTTTAACTCATTTAACCTCCAATTGCATCCAATTGATCATATATGATCTTCAATCATCATTTCATGTCTGAATCAACTATTAAATGTTTACACTTTCGTTTCCAAACTTTGAATTTCATTTGTTTTTGCCCACTTCCATTCATTTCTTCCAATTCCACCAATTTTCAATAAGTTCAACCTAACAAACACAATTAATACATGATTAAACTATAACTCATTCAAATCACTAAGTGTACAAAATACACTTATTAGTTATTCATTATATTACTTTTTCATATCAGAATTCTGAGACCCAAGAGCACATTCAAACCTTGAGATTGATTCTTTGATTCTTGAGATCATTTAACCACAACCTTTAGATAACATCAAATTCATGCAATCCAAAACACTCACTTCCCATACACTTACAGAACAGTGCTTTTTCAATAGCTTTTAGAGATTGTTGAAGATTGATGGAGGTTGGACCATAAACATAGAAAGAGTACAAGAATAAGATATTCATGGTGATCTACAGGAGATATACAATTTCAGAAGATCGAGAATAGATGTGAGTGAAATACATTCAGTGAGTCTTGAAGATTACAAGAATTAGATTAGCGAGTCTAATGGGTTTTTTAGGTTGGATCATATTGTAAGTTCATATTGTCTATAGTGGAGATTACTGGCTCAGTACCGGAGCTTTTACCTAAATGGGTTTTCTTCGTCAACATATTTACTTCCATATTATTGATTGTAGCATTCAAACAATAGTATAATCTGATGTGATTGATTAACCATCTGAAAACAATTAAAAAGTGACTCATTACTTTTAATAGGTAATTTTGATTTCGTAGTATTCACCCATTCACCACCCCTTTAGGTGATTTTAGGGTTGAACTAGTAGCTATCAAATGCTATCAGAGCTTTTCAGTAAAGTATTCTTTGCAAACTTTGAGTTTGTGCTAGAAGTTACGAGTTTAGTTACAAAACGTCTAGTTTGGTTACATGTTGAGATTAGAAATATTGATTGGATTTGAGTTTGTAATTTTGAAGTGTGAATGCAAAATTTTGAGTATGCAGTCCAAACTTCAAGTTAGCTTTGGAAACTTCAAGCTTGCTATGCAAATTTCAAGTTTGTAACTTGGATGAGATTTACAAATTTTGTAGTCTCTTGAAACTTTGAGCTTTCACTGCAAACTACGAGTTTGTAGTGCACATTTCGAGTTTGCTTTGTAAATTTTGAGTTTGTTTTGCAAACATCTAGCTTTCCATACAAACTTCGAGTTTGAAGTGCACATTTCGAGTTTGCTTTGCAACCATCGAGTTTGTACCAGAAATCATGAGTTTCCTCATGAAATACCTAGCGTTTTTGTTACATGCCCAGATGAGAAATGGTGGTTGAATTTTAGTTTTAATTTGGATTGTGAGTGAAAATTTCATATATGCGTCCAAATTTCGATTTTGCAGCTCAAATTTTGAGCATGACTCTTATTTAGAACTATGCTTAAATATCCACTATTGTCCAATTCAGAAATTTTCGAAGGCACAATATATAATATATATTAAAGTACTCGATGATGCTGGCCTATGAGCATGAAACCGACCTTCCAATCTAGTGTGAAATTTTCCAAGCCCAACACGAACCCTTAACATGGTTCATGCAGGGTTGTCCAGGCCTATAGGCTGAATTCACACCTTCAAGAGAATAATCAAACGTCTTGTTACACAAAATTCTGTCAAATAAATTGACAGAATTATTGCAAGTTCTTATATAAGAAAAGACAATAATCCACATATGTAACAAAGACTCTAAATTCTAATCAAGTGAATTAATTATAAGTTTGAAATCCTCAAAACTCATAACCCCATCTCCATCCATGCTTGCTATAATATCTTAACATTCCTCTTGTGAAAGATCAGTTCCAATATTCCCAATAACTTCTTAGAGGTCCTCTCCTGTCACTAAATCTTCTTCTTAAAATTCCAATTTTTCAAAAGCCCTTTTAAGAATATCTTTTAGATCACCTAGTCCCAAATCCTTAGTATTCATGTTCCTTAGTATTCATGTCAAAAAACTCAGAAATGCTCAAGGGTCCATCTCTATTGGTGCTGTTGGAAAAATAATCAATTGCATTAACGTTCAGAACAAAAAATGCAGAAATATAAAACTTATCTTCCGATCGAATATCGTGACAGCACGATGTCCTAAAGTGAAATTGCCCGTCGATAATTGCTGCGACTTTGGTGGACAATCAATCCTATGATACAACGATCGTAAATCACTTGTGCATCAATCACGAATAGTTTTCAGAACTCTCAAAGGTACTCTAAAATATATGTAAAAATCGAGTATGAAAATTCAGAATATGAGAAATAAGATTTTTTCTCAAAAGATTTTCTATTTTCTTTGATATGATTCTTTTCCACACCAAGTCATGGGCAAAATTGGAAGTAATTGTCTCCTCCATGACCAATGAATAATGCAGAATGTTAATGGTTGTGAGTAGTTGGTATTTTAATGGCTATGAACAATGGGTTGTTACAAAAACAGTCAGAAAGTACTGGATAGTTTGACCCATTAAATAATTTTGAAAAATAAATAAAAAATTATTTTAGTCAAGGAAGTCTAAGAGCTCAAGGCCCCAATCAAGACTTTTTAATAATTGCGTGAGGAGTGACTCGAACCCCTGACGTGGAAAATGTGGTATTTGTGTGGGACGTCAGAGGTTCGGGTCACTCCCCACACAATTATTAAAAAGTCTTGATTGGGACCTTGAGCTCTTAAGCTTTCTTGACTAAAATAAATTTTTTTTTTCGAAATTATTTAATGCGTCAAACTAGCTAGTGTTTTCTAACCATTTTTGTAACAACCCACTACTCACAGTCATTAAAATACCCACTACTCACAGTCATTAACATTCTGCATTATTCTCTGGTCATGGATGAGACAGTTACTTCCAATTTTGCCTATATAAACCTATGTCTTGGTTTTGGAAAGAGACACATGAAAGAAAATAGAAAATATTTTGGGAAGAAATTTTATTTCTTATATTCTAAATTTTCATACTCGATTTTTACATATATTCTGGAGTACCTTTGAGAGTTCTAAAAATCATTCGTGATTGCTACACAAGTGGTTTACGATTGTTATATCTTGGAAGTGATTGTCCACGAAAGTCGCAGCAGTCATCGATAGGCAATTCGCTTTAGGACATCTTGCTGTCACGAAACTTGATCGGACGATGTGGGACGTTAGGGGTTGGGGTCACTCTCCGCGCAATTATTAAAAAGTCTTGATTTGGGCCTTGGGCTCTTGTGCTTCTTTGACTAAAATAATTTTTTTATTTATTTTTCGAAATTATTTAATGGGTCAACTGGCCAATATTTTCTAATCGTTTTTGTAATAACTCACTACTCGCAGTCATTAAAATACCCACTATTCACAGCCATTAACATTCTGCACTATTCTCTGATCATGGAGGAGACAGTTACTTCCAATTTTGCCTATATAAACCCATGTCTTGGTTTGAGAAAGAGACATATCAAAGAAAATAGAAAATCTTTTGAGAAGAAATCTTATTTCTCATATTCTGAATTTTCATACTCGGTTTTTACATATATTCTAGAGTACCTTTGAGAGTTTTGAAAATTATTTGTGATTGCTATACAAGTGGTTTACAATCGTTGTATCTTGGGAGTAATTGTTCACGTAGGTCGCAATGGTTATCGATGGGCAATTTTATTTTAGGACATCGTACTATAATGAGACTCGATCGGACGATAAGTTTTATATTTCTGCATTTTTTGTTTTGAACGTTACTGCAACTGATTATTTTTCAAACAATCTAAAGTGAAATTGATTTATAATTAGTTGCCATGTCTGCCGTAGATATATCTGTTCTTGAGTATTCTGAAAACCTGAGTTGTTTGATGGAAAGAATTTTAAGATATGACAAATGAAACTGCGATTTTATTTGACAACTCTTAAAGTCGTTGATGCTATTGAATCAGATAAATCCGTTTTTGCAATTCTTGATAATCCTACTGATAATGAAACAGAGGAATTAGCTAATTGAGAACATAAGGATTATATGTGCAGGAATTATATTCGGAACGTTACTGCAACTGATTATTTTTCCAACGGGTGTTTGCTTCTTGCATCAACATATTGATTTCTTGTTCACTTGGGTTGTATCCAAGTGATCCCATTAGTCCCCCGAGCTTTTGAGAGTTGATTGATCCATCATGGTAAGAGTCGAAAGAGGGAAAGGCCTCGACCAGGCTCAAGACATGGCTCAGTGTCTATTTCAGTAGAGAGAGCATGATTACGCCATGGGAAGTATAGATTATTTTAGAGTCGATTTTTGTATGTGAGGATTTCTCAACTATATATAATGTGTTAGGTTTTAATTGATATTTGCTATTCTTTAGACAAAATGATTATTATAAAAGAATTGTAAAAATCATAGGATCTGTTAGGATGTTGTATAAATGAACTAGAAGTTTTTGGGTTCGAGTATGGAACATGGAGAAAAAGTTGAAATTATACTACCTCGTCACCAAGTTGATGCTCGAGCGTCCAAAACAAAATCATCGTTACCTATCCTGTTACTCGCCCGGCGATAGCCTTGCACTCGAGTGATGGTGTTTTCCTAGAAAACCTAGTTCGCGATTTTCAAGAATTCTATCTATCCTATCTACCCCAATACCTCTCTACTATAAATACACAAGTTCCACTTGGAGAAAACTATAGTTAATCATTATATTCTACCTTCATAACATTCTTTGGAGATCAAATCACAATTCTACATTTTGATATTAATCAATCACAAGTTGGGAAAAACATCAAAATCATATAATTGAAAACACCTTCCTAAGTATAATCAAGAAATTACTTTTTCAATTGCTTTCAGAAGTTGCTGAATATTGAAAGAGGTTAGACCAGATGCACAGGACAATATAAGAACAAGATGCTCTTGATAATCTATNGCTTTCAGAAGTTGCTGAATATTGAAAGAGGTTAGACCAGATGCACAGGACAATATAAGAACAAGATGCTCTTGATAATCTATAGGAGATAGGCAATTTCAGAAAATCGGGAACAGTTGTGAATAAAGCACGTTCCGACGAATCTTAAAGATTGCAAAAATTAGATCAATAGGTCTAATGGGTTTTCTAATGGATCATACTATAAGTTTTTATTGTTTATAGTGAAAGTCACCATCTTAATCTCAAAATTTTTAATCTTGAGTTTTCTCCGTCAACAAATTCTATAATATTTATTGCCTTTATTTACTTTTGTAACAATTCAATATTGAATTAAATTGACTTGACTGACTAAGCATTTAGAACAATTAAAAGGTGACTTATTGCTTTAGAGAATTACAAATTACTAATTTAATATACAGTACTAAACTGATTATTTATTTAGTTATTTACGGTCCACAATACAAATCATGCCATGATAAGACGCTCAAGCTTGTTGTGCAAGTTCTATCAAGCAATCCCAACAATGATGAATATATTCCCACAGAAGAATTCTAACTTTTGCTTTTGAATTATTCCACAATCCATATTCCACAATGCCAGATACTCTTTTATGCGAATTGTACAACCACCGTGCCAAGACAAAGAAATATGTGACAGAAAAAATATCGGACAGCTCGGTACTCAAAAAGTCCAGGTCAGATCAACATACACTGTTCATTGGACCGACCTTGGTCAAGAATCGGCCATGCCAGGCCAAATGCTGAGCCATATCGGGTCACCTCGAAAGCAAGCAGGTCGATATAACCCGGTTTACAAAGCTCTGAATATAATTGAATGTTTTGGCACTGAGTAATTCAAGAAAATGAGCGAATACAAATTTTGAGGTCCTTTATCAGAACAATGCTTCAATAAATAAAAACATTCAAAACCAAACACCACAATATACCCTTAAATTCCAAAGCCTAATGCAGCAGGCAAGAATTCACAAGAGTTCAAATTAACCATGCCCAGTATATGGCTTTAGTCAAATAATTCCAAACGAACCATTCCAGTTTCAAATGGACCATATATGTACATGAAATCAATACAACAGTGGAACTCAAATTATTCTTCATACTTGCCGATACTCGGGATTGAATGCAATAGACTCCCAGTAAATCAGCTCCTTCATCTGTTCTTCAGTTAAAGCGTGCTGCTCGAAATCGAAGCTGAACGGAGTCAGGCAAATAGGCTCATCACTGATGTCGTGGAGCGAGTTTAGGTATGGATGTGCCAGTGCATCTTCAACTGAAAACCCGCGAAGATTTACACGATTATCAAAATTGATCAAGGAAATGTAACCTCCATGATAGAATGGTATTACGCACATTAAGTTTGATTATAAGTAAATAAATTTGTTTTAAGATAAGTATGTTAGTAAGTTAATACCTACTTTTATTTAACAAACTTCTTACTTAAAAGAATAAAAGATAAATTATCCAAACAAGCTTGGGAACAAAATTTCCTTAAAAATAACTTCGACCTTTTCAAACTTAGCCAAACAGGCTCTATAATGCTTCTAATGCATTACAATTGGACACGCCATATTTTTCTTACAAAAGAACCTAAGATTGGAATATAGCAATTCTAATATGGCACTGTTGAATAATATGATAATCAATACCATGAACCCAGGCCATGGCAAAAGGCATGCCCTGATTGTTCTTAACATCAAGAGAGCAGCTATAAAATTGAAGGCTATCGCCGTTATATCATGTGGCAGTCTCCTAGCCTACTTCATAAGAGTGAGAGCTGAAATTCTGCAATTAGTCTTGTCCACCATTGGACTGAGGTGGGATACAGTGGCCAAAGACTCCAGTGCCAAATCAGAGCTTATATGATGTCTATCGAGCCTCGTGTTAGCAGATTTCAGCTTTCATTTACATGAATGTGACTATGACACTATCGTGCAAGATTTGACGTCAACAAAAGTCATAGCACGAGCCTTTATATTCCAATAGAATTAAATTCATCTTTATAATTTGATATAGTTTTCATATAATGAGAAGGAATTCTCTTATAACCCTATGAAAATTCTAGGAAAAGAAATTCTAGCCATTAAGTGTTACAAGTTCGCAGACAAGTGACTGATACTAAATTTTAAGAATATTACATTATGACATAACTGGTTGGCATCTTAACCTGATATACAGTAGATTTAGTATTACCACTATAAGAATATATCAGACACATGTTCACATTTCAAAGTAACTTGATGCAGCTATGGTCAATTTGTAAGAAATGTTTGCATGTGCCTCAAAGTCACTTTTCTATCCAGTGCATACTTGGATTTCCTTAACTTACAATTAAAGTTGGTCAAATTTTAATTGGATTCACCACTACAATCCCACTTTTCCGCTACTCATTTTTACCAATTTATAATTTAAGCAACTAATAAACAATCCCAAAAAAGCTTATTAGTAATTTAAGACTTACATTCTCGAGTAGTAAGCTTGGTTAGTAATATAAACAACCTTGCAAAGTCATGCACGCCAAAATAAGCAACATAGAAGAGAAGTTCCTCACCTGTAATTCTTTTTCTAGGATCAAATGTTAACATCTTCTCAATGAGATCAATAGCAAGAGGGTGCACTTGGGGAAACTTTTCAGTGAATCTTTGTCGGGGATGCGGAGGAAGATTTCGGATGTATCTTTTTGCATTTTCATTCAAAAACTCCAACTCAGCCTCAGATGGAGTGCCTATCAGCTGCAAGGCAACGGACACATGAAATCACTAAAACTTTAAACGGAAACAATAAATTGCACCATGTACTGTGCTTTAGAGACACTCAAGAATCTTATTGAGCCCAATTTTTCACAAAAAATGGATTTTATAACAGTTATTTTTTGGAAAATGTGGGATTAAAAAGAGAAAGTTTTAGTTTTACGTGCAAATTTTTTTATTGGGAGAATGTGGTTAAAAACGAGTTTGGGGAAAAATGAATTTTTGAATAATGGGGCTCAAATAGGGGCTATATTCTATGCCCCCGTTTGGCCCCCATTTTTGATGAAAATGGGTGAAATAATGTTTTTTTGAAAAACGAGTGAATGAAAAAGAAAGAAAATTTTTCAGTTATGTCTAATATTATTTTATAAAAGATTGTGTGGTTGAAAATAAGAGAGAAAAAAATAAAATGTAATCTAACAGGGGCAAAACAGGGGATCAAACATTCATTAGCGTATAGAAACAACTATAAAGCAAATATGCGAGAACTGAAAAAGTGTAAACAAAGCGAAATTCTATCCTCAAGCAAATCCCACATTACATGAACAGAAAATCTAATTCAGATGATGATGCTTAAAATCTCAATCCTGGAGTTAAAAAGTACACTATACATCATACCCAAACTGAAGGATGAGTGTACTAGATATGCACGTGGAGGAACAACATTCCATTACATAACTAGCACGTAAAGATATTGTAACGAAACAGTGATAGGACCTATCATAATCAAGATAGTTTCTTTATTGCATAGATAGTTTTACGTCAAGGAAATATACATAACATATATTCAATTGGAATGTGAATGTGAACCATATGCAAAGCTGTTAAATCCATAAAGAGACTATCAACATTAAATGTTCGAAATGAATTAGTAGAAGTCATTATAAGGAGGATTTCCCAATAGATGCTCCAAGATATTCGAACAACTAACTAGAAGATGTCATTTACTTGCTTACGATGTGCTTACCTTTTCTGTTTTTTTTACATTGTTGGATACGAAGCCAGACAAAATGACACAAATGCTTTTAGAATTTATTCATGGTTTCTCCATTTCTACATTTCCATTTTGAGATATTTTAAATCCTATATAATTACCCTATTAGATGACCATGTTTTACCATTTTAAGATATTTTAAATCCTCTATAATTACCCTGTTAGACGACCATGTTCTAGACCATTTANTTAGATGACCATGTTTTACCATTTTAAGATATTTTAAATCCTCTATAATTACCCTGTTAGACGACCATGTTCTAGACCATTTAAAAAGGAAGTGTTTATTAACATCTGTAATACGTCTCCAAGCTCCAATATTAGTCTAAGAGTGGAATATATTCATAAAAGGTTTCTCAAGACTTTGTTTTCTTCTTTTCTAACTACAAAAACAATTGACTGCAACAATAAACAAGTGGGTTCACGTTTTCAATGAAGATTTATCACCAAAAGAAAATTTAAAATATCAAATCAACAAATAGATATACTTAAGCATCAATAAGATTTTGACATTTAAATGCCATATATACTAAAATAAATATACCTCCATAAGTAGGCGCAACTGATGCACATGATCTCTACCCGGAAATAATGGCTTTCGATCCATCAATTCCATAAAAATACACCCCACTGACCACACATCAATAGCTGTAGTATAATCAGATGAATTTAACAACAGCTCTGGAGCCCGATACCACCTTGTAACAACATACTCTGTCATAAAGTCTGTTTCAGAGGTGACACGTGCTAATCCAAAGTCACATATCTTTAGGTCACAATTTGCATTCAAGAGGAGATTGCTAGGTTTCAAGTCCCTATGCAAAACATTTGCAGAATGTATGTACTTTAACCCACGGAGGATTTGATACAAGAAATACTGCACCAGCATGGAAATAGTTATTTTACCCCTATGAATATTAACGATATTAAGCAAACAAATGTTTACAGGAAATAGAGAATTAGAATATTAAAATTTAAGAAGGAAGAACTGAAAAGGTATATTTAGATTTGCTTAGACTAAAAAGGAAGCCTAAAAACCAGATTACAGTTTAATTATATTTGACAACTTCAGAATTCAAAGCAAGCATTATGTTATTAGTCAATTACAAGTCAAAGAGTAAGACTTAAAAGTATAATGTTCCTTTAAACAATTCAACATATTCAAGAGGCCCAACCAACAATTAAAATTCAATTACCATTTGGCAAGGGAATATATTACATATAATAAGAACATTGAGTTTAGAAGTCCACATGAAATTGTGGCTTTGTTTGATGTAGTTCTTTTTTTGGTTTTCCAATTCATCTTGTTAGACAAAACATTATGTTGGCATCAAGAATAATTTTTTAGCCAGGACTTTGATGCTCTTATCCATCTTATTCTGCTATGACTTTTTACCACATAAAGTTCTGGTATTTCAAATCCTCATTTTTTAGCTGTGAACGCTACCTTTGTTTTGACCAATCAACATGATCCATGTTCCAAGCATGCTTGTTTCTTGAGATGAAATCATTTCCAAGCATAACAGATTATTTATACCCACACCGCAGAAAATATATTTTCTGGAAATGTTCACTTTAAATACATTAATATGTTTCTCATTTGCAAGTTTAAGGGATAAACTCCACTGGTTACAGTTGACCTCATCTCATATGTCCCTGATTCGTGTCCACTTCCCACTTCTCTGCATCACTTGTGTGTTCTACTTCCTTATCATATTCATTATCCTCAAATATAGTATTATATATAAACGATTCAATTGGGACTTCAGCCACATAATTACTCCTCCCTTACATGTGCAGGTTCTTGAAAAAACATTGTCAAGAGGCCATTTAGCCCTTCTGCTGCTACTTCATATCCATTATATCAATTATTTCCGTTACAGACCATTACTGCTGGAGCCTGTACATATCCCTCCTATATTATTAGGTCTAATAATGCCATTAGAAAGTTGATGTGTTTCTCTCCAAGTGAGCTTCCACCCTCATTTCCACCTCCTTTCCCAAACAACTCACATGTTTCTAGAGTGTGAACCTTCACTTTGGCAGTTTTGAGGAAAACTTATTAAAAACATAGGATGCAGACTGAATGTTTAAGTGCCAGGCAAAATGTTGCTGCTGTAAACTAACTTTAAGAAAATAAGCACAAAATTTGCAACATACACATGGATTTCTAATTCAGTAGATATTAACTGAAATATAATTAGCACTTCAAACAATCATCGATTCGATCCAATAACAGAAATTGGGCATCAAGCATCCGATGATTAATGAAGAATACTGATTAAGTAGAGTGATCGAGAATATCTTAAATTTTTATTTCTAGTACTAGTATTGTCTTTTAAAGAAGAAAAATAAAACCCTACTACCCTAAAATGAACCTTTAAAGAAATACGAAATGACCCTAAACTCCTAATCTATAATATATTAAATATCATATTAGGTGAGAATAATTTTTTGGACGGTTCTAGCCCTACTATAATTCAATTACTCAAATAATACATTTCTTTTCGTTTTTCAATATGTATTTAATTTATTTAACTATTTGAACAATATGATCATAAATTATTTTACCAACTATTTGTTACCATCAATGTACATTTGAAAGGTTCAATTTACTAGTGTGTTTTCATTCATGTATGAATACCTTATTATTAATTATTAATTAATTAACATTCACATTTATTTAATTTATATTCATCTTCATTTATGCATTTCAATGTTGTTAATTAGAATTTTACATTCAATAATGTACATTATATTATTCACATCCATATATGCTAATAAGCATCCAGCTTCACTTAATTGAAAATTATATTATATTCATTTAGTATAAATAATTTAACATTCATTGTCATGAATATATTTCTTGATATTAATTTTAAATTAGTTAACATTCACGTTAAAACATGTATCATATTTGCTTTAACCACTTGAACAATATTATTATCAAGAATTATTTT